CACCAGTCCATGGCGGGTCCTCGCAGCAACGACACGGCGTATCGAATCTTCGCCGAGTCCTCCGAGACGTAGTTGGCGTCGAAGAAGACATTCATTGTAAATAACCATGCCTGAACGGTAGGACCACCCCGTTGACTCGGGTCAAAGCATGGCGGGCGCTGCGGCTTCAGCGGCATCGGTGACGGCAGTCCCGAATCGTGGGTTGGTGCCGAAATCGTGACGCGAGGCTGACTTGGGGCCGCATGCGTCGCTCTTGGGTGTGTCGTGCCGTGGTCGTCGTCTCCGTCGGGGCGGACGACGCCATCACTGGCCGCGCTCGCGGGTTGCCCCACACTCCCGTGTTGTGATGTTGAGGGTGCAGGTTGAATCGGAGTGCCAGGTGCTTGAGATTGTGCTCTCATGAGGTCATTTTGCAGTGATGAGCGTTCTGCCGTCAATGCCGCGATTTCCTCGGAGCTTTCGTGCAGTTGTCGCAGCAGATCGTTCAAACGCTCCTGCGTGAGAGTGGTGACGTCGATATTTTCGGCCATGACGAAGGGCGTCGGCTCGTCTTAGTCTAGGCGCAGTCGTGGCTGCACGCGTTTACGAGAGAATGCGAGGACAGCGGCTCCTAGGGGCTAAGGTGCGTGAGTCCCTTCGAGTGAAAAATAAAAAGTTGATTTCCTGGTGTGCGGAGATGCGCGGTCCGAAAGAAAGGGGCTCTGATAACCAAGTGTTACGGGTGCAATGAATCGAAGTAGCGAGAATTGCACTAGGGTGTCAAACGAGTACAAAATGTGAGCGAAGGCATGAGCGAACATTTATACGCGAAACATGCAAAACGGTAACGCGGTGCGTGCGAGCTTGCTAGTGCTACGCTGGAGCGAGGCTCGGGCTAGTCCCGAAGCGTAGGCCGATACGGCCATGCCAGCAGTGCGAGGTTTGGCAAAACAGTGCGCGCGAAGTCGGCGAAGTTCCGTTAGCAGTAACGGGCGAACAATCGGCTGTTGCTGTACGCGATGTAGTCGGCCCCGTAAGGAATGCCGAGAAAATTCCTTACAGGTACGGTACTTCAGCTCGACTTAAAAATTATCACAAAAAATTATCACACCAACACTGATGGAACGACTGATCCAGACGAATCTAGGGGCCTGGTCATGCCACAAAAGCTGCAAATGTTACCAATTAGTTTCTCTGATATTGACGCTGTAGACAATTGAAAGTCATTGTGGGGGTGATGTCTTTTCAACACTTAAAGCTGCGGTCTACATACCAAAGGGTATTTTCTGGGGGTATTTTGGGTGCACACCCAGGGCTGACGTTTCAAATTTAGGCACTCTGATTCCAAACCCCCAAAAAAAATTCGACTCTGAAGGCACTTCGGCCAGAAATCAAGCACTCTGATTGGTCAGTGTTCTGATGTCAGCGTGTCTGACAAGTCAGTGTCGGTGGGTCTGCATCAGGGTTAGTCCTCCTCGTGCGCGCCGCTGCCCGGCCCATGTCGGTGGCATTCTGGACTGGCTGGAGTGAATGGCGTATGACTCGGCAGATTGTTGTAGCAGCAGCAGCGCGCGATTGTTGTGTATGTACAGTACCTGGCACTATGAGACCTACCTTGCTTACAAGTGCCAACTGGCCGAGCGGCTGCAAAGATGAGCTGGCAGTAGGCACGAACTGTTACTTGGTGGCGCGCCTGGCAGTACCTTCAACCTACGAAACAGTGACGACATCACACGTTTGAGCGCAGAGAACACCCGATTTCAGTACCAAAAAGTGTGATATTTTCCCGTGGGGAGATATCCCCCCCCTCCCCCCGATTGTCTGTAAAGTTCTCCGATTCGTTGAGCGATTCGCTAGAAAAAAAGTATTTTGGCCCTTTTCTATTTCACATTTCAACGGTTACCCCAATCACGCAACAATCTAAATTGCGTGTCTTTGTCGCAGATAGGGTGTATTTGGTATCCCCAGCTGTTGAAGTGTACTTTGCTCGCGTGGTAGCACTCTCTGCCAATCGAAGGTGGGTATATCGGGAAGAAATTTCTAAGAAACTTCGCCTCGATATTCTCAGGGACCACATATTGTATACTCTGTAGAGTCAGACTCCAGAAACGAGTACGTCTGAAGCCTATTACATGGAATCAAGGGCCCAAAAACAATAAGTCTGAGGCACTCAGTGATGAAAAATGGACTACTCTGGAAATACATTTTCCACAAAGTGCAAGGTCTGATTCGTCAGACTAATCAGACTAAATAGTCTGATAGCGTCAGCCCTGTGCACACCCTAGGACGCAGTCTGATTTGCACACGAAATGATCCCTTTCCAGAAATGAGAGCGTGAAGGATTCAAACACAACTGGCAAATCCTGCCAGTTTCGTGCAAGGTTTGGTTGGGGGGGTACTTTTTTCGTGAGGTTGGGGTTGTGGTGGCAATTTTGCCACAACCTGCAACCAATCGAGGTTGGAGGGTAGATTGGCGCGAAATTTGTAAGCCAATCCAGAGCAGGCCAACTTTCAGAGGGGGCCTTGGGTTGTCAGAAAGCAGTAACTGCACCTCGCCACCCAAGGATGGAGCGAAGCCCTGTGCTACCTGGTTTTCAAGTGATAAACCAGGTCCTCCCGCAGGAGGTATGTAGGCGACAGCTTTAACATACCGGTACATTGCTAAACTGTAAGGAATTTTCTCGGCATTTCTTACGGAGCCCGACTACATCGCCTACAGCAACAGCCGTTGTTCGCCCGTTACTGCTAACGGGACTTCGCCAACTTCGCGCGCACTGTTTTGCCAAACCTCACACTGCTGGCCCGGCCGTGTCGGCCTACGCTTCGAGACTAGCCCGAGCCTCACTGCCAGCATAGCACTAGCTAGCTCGCACGCACCGCGTTACCGTTTGCATGTTTCGCATATAAATGTTCGCTCATGCCTTCGCTCACATCTTTGTACTCGTTTGACACCTTAGTGCAATTCTCGCTACTTCGATTCATTGCACACGTAACACTTGGTATCAGAGCCCCTTTCTTTCGGACCGCGCATCTCCGCACCCCAGGAAATCAACTTTTGATTTTTTCACTCGAAGGGACTCACGTACCTTAGCACTTAGGAGCCGCTGTCTTCGCGTTCTCTCGTAAACGCGTGCAGCCACGACTGCGCCTAGACTAAGACGAATCGACGCCCTTCGAAATGGCTGAACACATCGACGTCACGACTCTCACGCAGGAGCACTTGAACGATCTGCTGCGACAAATCCGCGAGAGCGCCGAGGAAATCGCGATGCTGACGGCAGAACGCTCGTCCCTGCAAAACGACCTCACACGAGCACAATTCCAAGCACCTGGCACTCCTATTCAGCCCGCACCACAAACATCACAGCACGAAAGTGTGGGGCAACCCGCGAGCGCCGCAAGTGATGGCGTCGTCCGCCATGACGGAGACGACCACGGCACGACACACCCCGACGCGACGAATGCAGTCAGGTTTCAGCCTCAAGTCACGATTTCAGTGCCGGCCGGCGGATCAACTCTTCCGTCGCCGATGTCGCTGAAGCCGCAGCGTCCGCTATGCTTTGACCCAAGTCAGCGGGGTGGTCCTACCGTTCAGGCGTGGCTCTTCACGTTGAACGTTTTCTTCGACGCGAACTACGTCTCGGAGGATACGGCGAAGATTCGTTACGCCGTGTCGTTGCTGCGAGGACCCGCCATGGACTGGTGGCGCGTCATCGTCACGAAGCCGGCGGACTACGCGACTCTACCGACAAGGGAAGGACAAACCGAACCCTGGGCGCCGTCGTATTTCGTGGAGGTGCCCCAGTATCGCACGTGTGGTGCGCAGGTCTGCGCGCTTGTTTCGAGCCAATCGCGGCTTCGATCGCGGCGCGATAGAAGCTCCGCACTTGGCGCCAACTCTGTTCCGTCCAAGACAACACGAACGGATTTCTGGTGCTATGCGAGCAGGTGGGATATATGCACGAGAGCGAGCGCATCGACCGCTACATCGGCGGCCTGAAGCAGGACATCGCTCAGGAAATCCAGCTTCGCGGCGTCACCGACTTTCAAGAAATTCTCGCTATGGCGGAGAAACTTGATTTCTTCCGCCGACCGAGACCGGGGTCCTACGGAAGCAGCCATTGGGGACATCGGCCTTGTGGGACGACCGAGGGCGCCACGATACGTACCTTTGCCGCAAATGTTGCTGCCGCACCGTTCAAAAGGCGCTGCTTTGCGTGCAATCGGCCGGGACATCGCAAAAGCGAATGCCCGGAAAACGCTAAGGGAAAGGGGGAAGCTGAGTAGCAGAAATAGACCAAGCAGCAGGGAAACGCTGGAAGTCAGTAGCAGACAGGCCCTCTACTGACAGGTCATGCCGCTCGCCCGACCCTCACCGAGTGATTGTGCCGGTTCACGCAATCAACCACATCCGGCCGAATAAGGAGGGTACTGTCAAACATTATATATGTTGTTGTGCTTGTTTAGGCTACAGTGGGTTAGCCTATAGGGGGTACACAATTCTAGGGGTAGGTATTTGTACTGTTTTCACTCTTAGTTCATTCCATTCCTGTTCGTTTATTCCAACATGGTATAGAGCAGGTCCTTCCTAGGACCGATTTTTTTAGGGCCCACCACTTCCTACCTACCTACCTACCTACCTACCGGCGCCCTAGGGCGCCTCTGTTTTCACGGCCCTCCGTCGGCCCGCCCCTTACGGCCCCGCGCTCTCCCCTGGAGGCCCCGAACGGCCCACGCGCTCGCCCCTAGCGGCCCCTTTCGGCCCCGTGATCGCCCCTAACGGCCCCGTCGGCCCCTCGCTTACCTCCCTAGAGGCCCCGTCGGCCCCGCGCTCACCTCCCTAGAGGCCCCGAACAGCCCCGCGCTCACCTCCCTAGAGGTCCCTTACGGCCCCGTCGGCCCCGCGCACAACTCCCTAGAGGCCCTGAACGGCCCCGTCGGCCCCTAGAGGCCCCCCTTTACGGCCCCGCGCTCACCTCCTTAGCGGCCCCGAACGGCCCCGTCGGCCCCTAGAGGCCCCGTTAAGGCCCCGCGCTCACCTCCCTAAAGGCCCCGAACGGCCCCGTCGGCCCCGCGCCCACCGCCCCTAGAGGCCCCGAGCGGCCCGTGACTGCCACAGCCCGGGACCGCCACAGCCCGGGACCGAACTGAGCCGCGCGACCCGAGCCGAGCCGCGCGAACCTAGCCGAGCCGCGCGACCCGACCCGAACCGAGCCGCCCCACCCGAGCCGTGCCGCCCTACCCGAACCGAGCCACCCTGACTGCTTCCTCCTCCTCCTACTGCTACTACTTCTACTGCTCCTATGGCTAGCCCACAGGTTCTGGTTTTCGATGCTGAGGGCCGCCCAGTGAAGTTTGACACCTGGCTAGATGACCTGCACCTCTATCTACAGCTCACAGCCAAGGACGACATCTCACTGTACGACCACGCCCTAGGCCATGTCACTGCCCTTGCTGCTACTGCTGATAGCACTGCTCGCTCACAGTGGCAGACTCGTGATGCCCACGCTCGCTTCGCTATTCGCAACTCCCTGCCGATAGACGAACGCAAGCACTTTGGCCAGCACAAGACTGCATAGGCACTGTACACAGCTGTCGTTGCTCGCTACTCCTCACCTGCCTCTGCCGCGCTAGGCCGTCTCTCCCTCCCCTACCTGTTTCCCGACATGGCCTCGTTCCACACAGTCGCTGACCTCATCACGCACCTCCGTACTAGTGAGGCCCGCTTCCGTGCCGCCATGCCCGCTGAGTTCCTTGCCACGCACCCCCCCCCACTCTGGCTCACTCTCTACCACCTAGTCACCCGCCTCCCTGACACACTTCGTGCTGTCAGGGACCACTCCTAGCTCGCTGCCCCACTGAGCTCACCATTGCCCTCCTCGAGAAGGAACTGCTTGCAGCTGGGACTAGCATAGTCGCTGTAGGTGCCTCTCGTGGCGACCCCCGTACCCCTTTCTTCGAGGGGTGTTCTCCTTCCCCCCTTCTTCCCTCTGTCGCCTCTGCTGCTGCTGTCGACCTCCTTGGTGCTGAGAAGGTCGGTACTGCGTCTGCTTCGAGCGGGCGCCGCAGCGGCAAGGGCAAAGGGGGCAAGGGTGGAGGCGGTGACGGCGGGGGAGGCGGTGGTGGGGGCGATGGAGGCGGTGGGGGTGGTGGCGCGACTGGAGGGGCTAGTGGCAGCGGTGGGGGTGGTGGCGGCAGCGGCGGGGGAGGTGGTAGGGGCGGAGGCGGTGGTTGGGGTGGCGGTGGACGAGGCGGCGGCAGGGGTTGGGGTGGTCGAGGAGGTGGCGGCGGCGGTGGTGGTCGTGGAGGCGCTGGCGGTGGCCAGGGCCAGCAGCACACTCCGTCGCCCCAGGAGGTCCGTGAGTGGTACTCTCTGCATGGGAGGGGGGGTGGCTTTAGCTGCACTGTCCTCCTCTCCGACCTCCTCCACTGTCCTTCCCTGTCCTGCGGTCCCGTCGGGCACACTCTCAGGTCTCCACCTCCCCTCGTTCTCTACGAACCTGGTGGCAGGATGTGCGCTCCAGGACGGGGGTGTTCACCAGTTCACCCCCGCCTAAGAGCGCGTGACTCAATGTACGTGTGCTCGTACGGGCCGTCACTTGGCTACCTTCACTCGGCAGCCGGGGTCGGACCTGTACACACTGACCACTGAGTCCCCTCAGGTTGCTGCGTCTGCGTCTGCGTCCGCGTCAGGTCGGCTGTCGGCCCCCTGCTCGTGTCGCTCTCTTGCGCACGAGACTGTCCTCTGGCACCACCGCCTTGGCCACCCGTCTGTGCAGCGGATTCGTGCCATGCACTCCCGGTACCTTGTCTCTGGCCTTCCCAGGGTCCTTCCTCCCCTCCCTCCCTCACCTGCTCCTACCTGTCTCCCCTGTGTCGAGGGACGGCAGCGCACCGCTCCTCACTCCTCCTCATTTCCCCCGACGACTGCTCCCTTGCAGACGCTCCACATGGACGTGTGGGGCCCAGCCCGCGTCCGTGGTCAGGGTCAGGAGAGGTACTTCCTGATAGTTGTTGACGACTACTCGCGCTACACCTCGGTCTTCCCCTTGCGCACCAAGGGTGAGGTCCCTGATGTCTTGATCCCTTGGATCCGCAGAGCCTGTCTCCAGCTCAGCGAGCGTTTTCACTCGGACTTTCCTCTCCTGCGCTTGCACTCTGACATAGGTGGTGAGTTCTCCTCCGACCTCTTGGCAGCCTACTGTGCTGAGCACGGCATTGAGCAGTCGTTCACGCTTCCGGCCTCTCCACAGCAGAATGGGGTTCTGGAGCGCCGCATTGGCCTGGTCATGGAGGTCGCCCGTACCTCCTTGATCCATGCGGCTGCCCCCCACTTTCTGTGGCCGTTTGCGGTCCGGTACGCTGCGCATCAGCTCAACCTCTGGCCCCGTGTCTCCTTGCCGGAGACATCACCCACACTGTTGTGGACGGGGGAGGTTGGCGATGCGTCGCGTTTCCGGGTCTGGGGATCTCGAGCTTTTGTCCGCGATACGTCTGCGGGCAAGCTCTCCTCCCGTGCTGTTCCCTGCGTCTTCCTCGGCTTTGTCTCGGACGCGTCTGGTTGGCAGTTTTACCACGCCACCTCGCGCCGAGTCTTGCCCTCTCAGGACGTCACTTTTGACGAGTCCGTCCCCTACTACTGCCTCTTCCCCTACCGCACTGCCCCACTCCCCCCCCCGCCTCTCTTCCTCGCGCCAGGTGTTGCTGCTGTAGACCCCCTCCCCCCTCAGGGTGTCGCTCCCTCAGGTGTGTCTTAGGTAGACCCGGTTGAGCCTGTTGAGGTAGCTGTCGACTCTCGTCCTGCTGGGGGTACTGAGCCTAGGGGTGCTGAGCCTGGGGGTGCTGAGCCTGGGGGTGCCGGGACTGGGGGTGCTGAGCCTGGGGGTGCGGAGCCTGGGGGTGCGGAGCTTGGGGGTGCTGAGCCTGGGGGTGCTGAGCTTCGGGGTACTGAGTAGCAGAGTCCGGAGTCTGAGGGTTCTGAGTCTGGAGGTACTGAGCCTGGGAGTCCTACACCTGGGGGAGCCCTCTCCTCGGAGCAGCTGCGTGAGTGGTACCTACAGTACTACAGCCTCAGGAGAGGCACCTCTGGAGCCGGGCGTGCTACTAGGACTGGTGCTAGTGCTTCTCCTCCTAGTCGGGAGCTCCCCTCCCGTGAGCAGATCCGTGAGTGGTACGAGCGGCGCTGCACTCTTCGGAATGGCGCGCCTTGTGTCGCGGACCCCGCTGCCGTGGGTGCTGCTGCAGGTGCTGCGGACCCAGGTCTTGGAGCTGCTGCTGGTGCTGAGGACCCGGGTGTTGGAGCTGCTGCTGGTGCTGTGGACCCGAGCGTTGGAGCTGCTGTTGGTGCTGAGGACCCTGGTGTTGGAGCTGCTACTGGTGCTGCGGACCCGGACATTGGAGCTGCTGCTGGTGCTGGGGACCCGGGCGTTGGAGCTGCTGCTGTTGCTGAGGACCCTAGTGCGGGTGTCTCTGCTGGTTCTGGTGTCGCTGCACGGCCGCGGCCGTACTTCGTTCCGCTCCTTCAGCAGGTTCTTGGTCCGCTCCCTCCTCCGTGTCCTCCTCCCTCCTTAGGGTGTCCTCTGTCTGCCCAGCTGCCGTCGCAGCTACCGTCTGCCTCCTCTCTCCCTGGTCCTGCTCCTTACACTGGTCCGACTGGAGGTCTTACTGAGCGTCGTGAGCCTGAGTCTCATCCTGCGTCGCCTGAGCCTCGTCGTGCGTCGCCTGTCCGTGCTACCCTCACTGGTAGTCGTGTCCCGCGTTGGCGTCTTCCTGCTATCCCAGGCACTCATCGGATGGCACTTCGTCCGTCCACTGCTCCACAGCGTGTCCCACTGCCGTCTCCTCCTGCTTCCTCTCTTCCTACTCTTGCTGACCCGGGGTCATACTCCCTTCGTGCTGCCAGTCCTACTATCACGCGTCTCCTGGCTACTGTTGCCACTGACCCTTCCTTTGAGTCCGCTGCTGCGTCTGCCTTAGTTGCTGAGCTTGTCGACTTTGCTGCCACCTGTCGTCTAGACTACGCTGCTAGCCTGGTTGCTGAGTCTGAGTCTGTCTGTCCTCCGTCCGTCGGGGGTGAGTGTGCTCTTGGCACTGACGTCCTTGAGAACAGGCAGGAGGAGTTTGAGTGCTTTGCTGCCGCTTTGCCCCATCTCGTGTCCATGCTTGTTGCCCCTGAGGGAGACCCGGATGCACCAGACATCCCGACCCCACGCTCTTACGCAGAGGCGAGGTCCGGTCCCTACTCCTCTCAGTGGCAGTCGGCCATGGACACAGAGATGGCTTCTTGGAAGTCCACAGGCACCTACGTCAACGAGGTTCCCCCGCCTGGGGCGAACATCGTCAGTGGCATGTGGATTTTCAGGGTGAAGCGGCCGCCGGGCTCTCCGCCTGTCTTCAAGGCGCGTTACGTTGCACGAGGCTTCAGTCAGCGAGAGGGAGTTGACTTCTTCCAGACCTTCTCCCCGACCCCGAAGATGACCCCTCTTCGTCTCTGCTGTACGTCGCCGCCGTGACTACGAGCTCCACTCTCTTGACTTCAGCACTGCTTTCCTACAGGGCAGCTTGCACGAGGAGATCTGGCTGCGCCGTCCACCTGGCTTCACTGGGTCGTTCCCTCCTGGTACCCAGTGGAGCCTCCGACGGCCAGTCTACGGTCTCCGCCAAGCGCCACGTGAGTGGCACGACACACTGAAGACTACACTTGCGGCTCTTGGGTTTGCACCTTCTACTGCTGACCCGTCGCTGTTTCTATGCACTGACACCTCACCGCCGCCGTTCTACATCCTTGTGTACGTCGACAACTTGGTCTTTGCCACTGCTGACACTGCGGCACTCGCCCACGTGAAGTCGGAGCTGCAGAAGAGACACACGTGCACAGACCTGGGTGAACGGACAAGCTATCTTGGCTTGCGGATCACCCGGGACAGAGCACGCCGCACCATCACCTTGACTCAGTCACACATGGTGCAGCAGGTCCTTCAGCGCTCTCGCTTCACGTACTCCTCGCCTCAGCCCACTCCTCTGCCTACCGGTCACTCGCTCTCAGCTCTGCCTTCGGATGAGTCCGTAGAGCCGAGTGGCCCGTATCCAGAGCTTGTGGGTTGCCTCATGTACCTGATGACCTGCACTCGACCTGACCTTGCATACCCTCTTAGCATTCTTGCACGCTATGTCGCTCCCGGCCGTCACCGGAAGGAGCACATGGATGCAGCTAAGAGGGTGTTGCGCTACTTGTGCAGTACGTCGAGCATGGGGCTAGTGCTTGGAGGGCGAGTCCCAGTTGTTCTCACTGGGCACTCAGACGCTTCTTCGGCAGACGACCAGGCTACTCAGCGATCGTCTCAGGGTTACTCCTTCAGTCTTGGCTCTGGTTCATTTTCTTGGCGTTCTACTCGCTCTTCTTCTGTTCTCAGCTCCAGTTGTGAGGCTGAGATCTATGCCACAGCCATGGCGGCCCAGGAGCTACGCTGGCTCACCTACTTGCTGACCGACCTTGGAGAGCAGCCTCGTTCTCCTCCAGTGCTGCACGTGGACAACAAGGCAGCCATTGCCTTGTGTCAGGAGCACAGACTGGAGCACAGAACGAAGCACATTGCTCTGCGCTACTTCCTTGCTCGAGGGCTGCAGCACCGTGGTCAGCTTCGTCTGCGTTACGTGGCCTCTGAGGCCAACACTGCTGATGTGTTCACCAAGGCGCTTCAGCCTTGTGACCATCAGCGCTTTTGCACTCTTCTAGGCCTTGTGCCTACTGTACCTCACTTGCTTACTTCTTGAGTTTGTTTGTACTGTGATCTCTATATATATTTACCTGCATGTTTACTCTTGCTAGGTTGTGATCATTGTACCTCTTGCTCTATTATAAACCTGCATGTGAACTAGTCTTGTGACCACTTGCTTGTGCTCGGAATGTGTGTGGTATCCTTGAGATCCACCCTGAGCTTGTTTTGCCTTGCTTTGCCTTGACTGGTCTTGTGACCCCTAGTTCTCCCCCACTTCGCCTATGGGGGTGTGTCAAACAATATATATGTTGTTGTGCTTGTTTAGGCTACAGTGGGTTAGCCTATAGGGGGTACACAATTCTTGGGGTAGGTATTTGTACTGTTTTCTCTCTTAGTTCATTCCATTCCTGTTCGTTTATTCCAACAGGTACTATGGTAGACAGCCCCATACTGCTTAGTGGGAAAATCGGGACGGACTTAGTAAAAATCTTCGTAGACGGGGGAGCCAGCCACAGCCTCATCAACACTGCCACAGCACAAAAACTGCGACTGCCATGTCAGAATGTTATGTTTGTCTAGCCTGTAGTGGGGTACTCAATAGTGATTACAACCCAACTTAGGGTTTCCTATATGTACTCAACTGCTTGCTAGTGAACTCCCC